TTTCCACCAAATGCTCATGATGGCATTCATGATCTCCTGGCTTCAGGTGGAACAGTGTTTGTCAATCTCAGCTATTTTAAGATTGTGGATTTCAACTCCCAGAATTCCCACGCTGGTTGAGGAATTGTTGGAGTCGGTCTACACATCTGAAAGTAGCTGAGATCGAGAAGCACTGAGAGTATTTAAAGTATCTGTTCCATTTAACATATTGCGCAGACGTAATCCCAAGCTTTACTTCACAACCTATGACAGGACAGAACTGTCAGAATAAAACTGGAGTGAAATCTTTACCATTTATCTTGTCAGTTGCCTCTTCATTCTTACCCAGGCTATTGCTGAACATATTCTCTCATCTCAATCTTTACTACTGCTGTGAAACACAGTAGGACCTCTGGCAATCCTTTTGCAAGCGTTTCATCTTGCAAAACATAATCAAAAGTGTGTTGTAAAGCCAAGGACAGTTTCGCCAGCACTGCTGCTAAAAACCAAGGAGGATTACTTGAATCCTATTAACACAGGCCTGCATTGTGTTCCTTTGTTACGTGAATATACCAGGCCCATTCTTTCAACAACAGCACACATTGGAACCAATAAGGGTTTTGTTTTTGTCTTTTTAAAAAAATGAATTGGAATGTGCTTCAGGTTGTAATGTAATCCTCACTCCACAGTGAATCTCAGAAAAGGAGGAAGATAAAGTAATTTAATCTACTGGAGTGAGTGCTTAAAGGGAAATTAAGGGTTTTAACTTTGCCATATGATGCCCCCAACACAGGAAAAATTGTAATTATGGCACATTCGCAAACAAATAATGAGTATTTTTATTTTATTTATATCCTACCTTCATTAGTAGTAAGTCAAAGCAGTGAACATACCTAATACTCTTTCCTCCTATTTTTCCTACAACTACCACCCTGTGAGATGATTGGGCTGAGAGAGAGAGTGATTGGCTCAAAGCCATCCAGATGGCTTTCATGCCTCAGGCAGGATTAGAACTCACAGTCTACTTGTTTCTAGCCTTTGCCTTAACCACTACATCAAACTGGCTCTAGATAATGTAGCAACTTCACATTTTTCAGGATAAAAAAATATGCTTAAGTGATGTAAGCTTAGTAGACAACTTCAGCATAGCTTTCATATTCAAGTCCATTCATATAATTTAATATAATCTTATGTTTTTCTAAAAGATAAAATGTATTTTCTCTATATAAAGAAAATTGTAATTTATAGGATTGTGCAATACTTTGGATTCAATCTTCAAACGGAGCTTTAAGCACATGAGAACATTTTCCTCCAACCCTTTAAAGCAGCTGCATCTGTTTCAGGGATTGTAGGACTGACATCTGTTGATGAATATTCCCAGCTGCTTCAGGGAATTGCACAGATGTGCCATGTTCATGTTCCCACCTGTAGTCAAGCATCTTTTGGAGGGGAATGCAAGTCATCATGGGACGACATGTCCAAAATATTTTCACACACACACACACACACACACACACACACACACACACATTCCTATACAGGAAAATGTGACCTGGTTCTGAAATGAACAAGTCAACACTCTAAGTATCAGCAGTAAACCTGCAGCACCAACTCTTGGAGACAACCCAATGGGCAAGACAAGATTCAGCAGATTGGGTGGGGGCGGCAGCTGTTCTTCATTGGAGGCAACTTGTTGATGATTCCCAGTATTAACCAGTGGCAGCTATGCTTCTCCTTCCTCTTCTTGAGCAGGCAGCTCTCCATCCAGTCAATCACAGCCCACCCCCATGCCTCTTTCTCTGAGCCAGTAATCGATGGGGTCATCTCAGTTAATACCTCTTGTAGTAGCTGCCTTACTTAGTTTAATAAAACTTCTTGTTCCAATTCTCGTATTTATTTTTAAAGCACCAGTAGAACTTGCACTTGCTGCACACATATATTCTATGAGTTTTCAGGCAACAGCAAAAGTCAGATTTCTAAGCATTTATTTTCACTTTTTTTCTTAAGGGTGCTACCAGTGTAAAGCCCTCTATTTTTTCTTCTTCCCTTCTCAGTCTCTCAAATTAGCTGAATGTCACTCTTCAGTATGATAGAAAAATGCTTGGGACTCCCTTTCACTCCTGGCCCCTTCTGAATTCCTTTAACACTCAGCACAGCTGGCTCAGGAATTCTGGGAGTTGAAATCCACGAATCATAAAAGAGCCAAGGTTGACTACCCCTGATTTAAATGTCCTTTCTGTGGCTGTTCTCTGGTTATTCCAACCCTTTTCTGTCCTGTTCAACTCAATTGCCAAATCATTGAGGCACTCAGGTCAGAATTATTTCTCACCTTATGTTCACAAGCAGCTTCCATGCTAAAAATTATGCTATTGCTCATGATCACAAATTTATGCCTTGACTAGAAGTAAGACTCTTAATTAAGAAACAGGAGTTGCTCAGATATTCATCCAAAGTAAATATTCATCCATGTTTCATTTATAACCACAATAATATCAATCTAAGCTGCAGCAGAAAGTAGCACAGCATCTGATATGTCACTGTTTTAAAACAATAACTTGAGGCATCCCATATTCATGTACAAAAAGATGAGTATTTTAAGACATTCATATATTATTTGAATGACTATTTATTAACAAATAGAAAAATATATAAACATGTACACATGGCTGCAAGTCACACAGTCTTTTCTATTTCTACATATAAACTATTAAAAATCTATTTTGTTTGAAAGAAGTCTATGTCAGTATGTTTTTGTTCTCCCCTTTCTACCCATTTCTCAGCCCTGCTATTCTTCCCTTTCATGGTGGCAGAGAGCACTGCTGAGAGTGTGCACCAAAAGTATACACTGGATCCCAAATGGATCACCCAAAGCATGAAGATAACCCTAGTTGCCCAGCTAAAGTAAGAAGGCACCTATATTGGGTAGCAAGGATTTATTTATTTAATTAAATTTAATTTTATACACCTTTAGAAATAACGTAAAAGGTATAATTTCATTCTGGGCAATGTTAAGCTATTCCTGTATTTGACTAAGAAAATCACCTGGATAGACCAGGTAAAGTGATTTAAAAAATAATGCCAAATTATGGGCTTCTCATGTCAGATGCACTGAAAAAGCTACTGGGAGACTTTTTTTTTTTTTTTTTTTTGAGTATTGATGCTGTATATGACTTGGTTAGATTAAAACATGCAGGACGTCCAGTTTTAGCGTAGGAAAAGAAACATTGAAGCCCCAAAGACAGAGTTGCAGTGGGCATGCAGAATGTAAGAAGCATAAATGTGGGAAAGCTTAATACAGTGAAAGATGAAATTAATCAACTACACATTGGCATCTTAGGCATTAGTGAACTGAAATGGGCTAAAATTGGATACTTTCAGTCAAAAGATCATCCAGTTGATCACCTGGGACATGAAAAACAAGGAACAATGTTGCTTACATAGTAGAGAAGAATATAGCTAAGACAGTAATGAAGACAGAATCAACACAAATTAGAAACCTACATGAAACGCAAAAAGCCAGTTGTTGAAGCCGGTTTTTAAAAAGGCTGAGGAGCAAGAGACATTATTATTGATAATTGATAAAATCAAAGAATACCAAACAGACGTTAGCAAGTATTTCATGGATACCACCGTTTTCAGTTGCATTGACCATCTCATAGTGTGGAATGTCGTCAGGAAAATTCAAGAACATCTCAATGCCCTTACATGAAACCTATACTTAGAACAGGAAGTCAAGTCTGCAAGGAACATGGCAAAACAGACTGGCTCCAGGTTGGCAAAGGAGTGAGACAAAGTGTATATTTTCTCCTTATTTATTTAACTTACATTTATTTATTGATTAAACCTATATGCTGCCCATCTTGCTAAGAGGCAACTCTAGGTTGGATAAAGGAGAATGGATTGGATGAGCATGGTTTTAAAATTTGGAGGAAGAAACAGCAGTAACCTTTTCTACACTGCTCTAATAGCTGAAAATGATCTGCAAGCTCTCATAATCAAAGTCGAGCCCAGTGAAAAAATGGAAAGATTAAATATAAGACCAAACTAATAACTAGTACAGCAACTTGCCTTAGAACTGATAATGAAGATACTGAAATGGAGAATAGTTTTCACATTTTGGGATCCCTTATCAGCTATAAAGTAATAAAACAATATGCCAGACTTGCACATGAAAGGGCAGCAATGAAAACCTTAGAAAAAAATATATATAGATGCTGTGACCTACAAAGATCAGAATCATGCAGGCTAAAGTTGGACTTTGAATAAGCACAAAGGAAAGAGTGCTGAAGTTTTTGAATGCTGGAGAAGACTCAGGAGAAAACGTCAGTAGCCAAAAAATAACAAACTGATCACACAAGTCAGCCAAAATTCTCATTTAAAACACAAATGGCCAGGCTCAAATTATCATATTTTGGAAACGTTATACAAAGGCCTAGCTCCCCTGATAAATCCATAATGTTGGGAAAGACTGAAGGAAAGAGAAGAATAGAGTGTAATGGCTGTACCACTGGAAGTTTTGAAGGGACGTAGTAGGGACAGATCATACCAGTGAGGGTCTATCTATGTGATCATCAAGTTGACACTAACTTGATGGCTCATAATTAATCATTCAATCTTTTTGCATATATCACTGTTTGACATAGGCAACATAATCAGTATGAATTTAGTTGAATCAAACATTTTATGAACAGTATATTATACACAATTTATACTTCTTCATTTTTAATATGTGGGCTAGTGAGTAATCTAATTATATAAGAGCACTGGTGGCGAACCTACGGCACTGGTGCCAGAAGCGGCACTCAGAGCCCTCTCTGTGGGCATGTGCACCGTCGCCCCAGTCCTAGGCCTTCAGCTGGGTTTTATAAAATCTTTTCGCTCCGCTGCCGTGTGCAAAAAAAAAAAAAAAAAAGGTTCAATCAATCAGTCAATTTTAACTTCCCACAGGAAAAAAAAAAGATCTTGCAAAGTTGGAATTGATTGATTGAACTTTTTAGTCCCACCCAGTCTGCCATTACCACCGCAGCCATGCCCACCCAATGGGCCACACCAAGCCAATGGGCCACACCCACCCGGCACCCGATGATGCATAAGTGGGTTTTGGGTTGCATTTTGGGCACTTGGTCTCTAAAAGGCTCGCCATCATTGCTATAGAGTGTAAATTACACATACAAAATTACCATTGTCCATAGATAACATAGATAATGGATAAAGATGACAAAATTAATTTAGGAAAGAGCTTTCATAGGTGAAATTTCTATACATATTTTACCAAATGTTTTACAGAATACTGAAATGCATGTCAGTTTATTTACAAAGTTTACATAAACATACGGTTCCTCATGCAAAAATGATATAAACATGAATTTTGCAATAATAATGTTAACATAGTACCCTGATCTTTGCATACCTATCTGCCTTGCATGTCTGACCTTATATCCTACTTTCTCATGGACCTTTCATTTCAAATAAGTATATATAAGTTTGTATTCCCTCAATTACGTATTGGTGGGTTTAAAAGTGTAGCTTTTAAGACTGCAGTTTTATCCATTTCTACTGAGAAAATAGATTCTGTTGAATTCGATTTTTATCCACAAGTAAGAGGGAATAGGATTGCAAAGTGGCAGAACTATTCTAATGCTCTCTTGACTACTATTTTAAAGAGCAGAAATAATTACTAATATATACATCTCTACCTACTTCTTCAAGCAATGGGATTTTTTTTTTAATAGTCCCACTGCTGATCTATATTTTTCTTGTCTAGTTGGTGACATGGAAAAGGTTGGAAATGGTAGATAGTTTCAGGTCCTGGATGCCTTCTGCTCTGGCTCTGTTCATTTCTTTCTTTTTTTCTTTCTTTTAAAGAAATTTAAGGAATCCTAGGATCCTGAGACTGATCAAAGGGCCAAACACTTTTATAATTTCAGGCTTTATTTTAAACTTCTTTTTTAAAAAATGTATAAAAAAGCATTTTAAATTTCACTGACATAATAAATGCCCGGTATAACTAACAAAACATTCTTACTGAAATAAATGACATCTAATGTGTTTTTCTGAATTATGAAATTCTGTCAAACACCAGCATATAACAGCAGTTATTTATAAGAGAAATATTTCATTGAAAATTGGAGTTATTTTACCTCCAGAGTAGGCAGCAATGAACCCAACAGGATTTAGTTCAAGATAAACATCAGAGAGCTGCCCTATAAAGAGTTGTGCAAAAGGCTCTTGAGCACTGCTTTCCAATTTCTACAATATGTTTTTCCATATAAACACTTAGACAATACTGAACTGTGACAGCAGATGATGTTTCCAAGTTCACAATAAATAAGTATAGACAAATCAGAAATGTTCATTTTTCTTAAAAAAGATTCTTTGCAGTGCTAGGATTCTTGGCACATTCACAGAGATTCAACACAGCTTGTTGCAAATCCTATCAAATGCTTCCTTTTGCCAATATAATAAAGGACAAATTCCTGTCACACATCTGCTGTTAGATCATATACTCAGAAGACTATTCTACCGCTTTTCATTACATAATCTCCTTAGCTGTGTGTTCAATCCATCAAACTATGTCTGAATGAGGAATAACACGCAGTTAGCTGCCTCTGGTCTTTGACCACATTGCTCCTTGAAATCTTCTCATACAGCTGCTTTATTGTAAATCCAACTGCCAAAGAGCTTTCAAATGCTGTCAATTTATTTCAGCTGTTTTTGAAGCAGTACCACTGAGATCCAGGCAGCATTCCATTCATAAACATTAGAAAAAGGCACTCAGTTTAAGGGCTGCCAGAAAGGCTCATGCAGATTCCTAAAAGAAAACAAAAAGGTGTTACACAGAATGCATCAATCCTCTCTTATTTTTGTCCTCCATTTTATTGGTCACAACCTACAGACTTTTGTATCCCACTTAACTTTTCATTGTGAAAGAAAAAATAACTTTTCTTTTTCTCTTGATATTTTCCTTCTTGATATTTCAGATCAATGATTTTTCAATCCTTCTCAGAGAAAGCTTGTAGTACATCTACAACTGCTGTTGTACACATACAGTGTTACAGTTCCATTTTCAGATGATCTCATTAGTTACTGAAAGATGACAAGATCAAACACAGGATCTTTTTTCTCACCTCCCTGCTAGCCCCCAAAGTTGGTAGAAACCCCCAGAATGGAAACTACAACAGGAGCGACTGAAGAATCCTAAACCCCATTTGACACATCCAAAACCCAATGACAAATTTGGAACAGCAATAAATACAGAGAGGCAAACATTTCTGCAGCCAATAGAAACACTATAGACAACTGACAATTAGCCTCCTTTTCCTTCTTCTTCCCTGTTTATCCTCCGGGCGAGTCAAATCTCTTGTATCTGTCTCTGGTCTTCTTCTTTTGCCGAGTAATTTTCCAAGTTGATATAATCCACTTACCCAGCAGTTCCTGTATTTTTACAAATGTTGTTGGGAATACAAAAGATGAAGTAAGAAAGATAAATACTTTCTGTCTCCCAAACTTTGATGGTTCTCCTGATAATTCCATTTTTCTTGTTAAATCAGAACCTTGAAGATTTTTTTCCTGTTTGTGTCAAATTGTAATTCTTTTCCTTTGTTGTTTCATCAATTTGATCATACTCTTCTAATTTGTAGTCTGCTGTCTGATTTATTTGTCCCTTTGTTGTTATTTCCTGGGTGTTTTTAATTGTAAGTTTAGATTGGAAATATGCTTATTTAAATCATCAAAGTTGTTTCGGATTTCCTTGTGGTTTGAGTCTATTGTCATTTGTATTTGTCCTAGCTTTACATATATTTCCTCCTGGAAAGTATTTATCTTGCCTTGAAGTATTGCTTCTGGAGGCCCTTGATTTTCCAGGCGATGTCCTTCAGGAGAAAATATTCAATGTGGCATCCTGTCATTTTTTGATATGTATGTGATATTCATATTGTGTCCCCCGTTCAAATAATCTTTCATCAATGTTTTAATTCAAAAGTCAATTTATCAGTCAGTCAAAATTACAGATTAGTATGTAAAGCCACTTTAAATCCTTCCTACAGATTCTCCTCTAAAAGATTACCCAAAAAGCCAAGGTTTTTCTTTTCCATAAACAGTTCTTAAGATTTAAGCAAAAGTCCAGCTGGTTTTTTTTTCTTTCAAACATTTTTTAATCTTACAGCTGGCTTTTCCTTTATTCCCAGCTGTCTTCAAGTTTATTTGCAATTCAAAGGAACAACTTTTTCTTTGTTTCTAGGCACTCTGCCAATTTCTGAGTCCTTACTGTTAGTGTTCTAGACTAGATGTCAGCAGTTATTTCTTTTTTCAGTTTTTCTTTCAATCAAAAAGTTATTTTTGTTATATATTTGTATAATTCCATCAAAAGATTTGTAGGGTATAATCTTGACCGTTTTTTAGTTCCTAAATTTGTCCAGACTGAAGTATTTTAAATCAAATTTTAATATATTTCTTCCTTCCTTTAATATTAATTTGCTGCTTCCATCTGTAAGGGAATTGGGATATAGTCCTCTCTCTTCACGTCTGGAAGTTTTCTTGTTTTGGGGATCTTTTCAAGGATTTGGATAGTAAATAGAAGAAAGAAGATCAGTACTCTCACCAATTCCAAGCACGCTGTTCACCGATGTTTAGGTTCGTGCTCTGGGACTTCGGCTGCAAGCAGCTTGGGCTAGACACTGATCTCACGCTAGCCTTTCTCCTGTTGCGTTCGGAGGGCTTTCCCCAGATCAAACGAAGTGATTGCCATCACTTTGTGATCAACGGGGTGCTCCTCCTTCACGGTCAACTCTTCGGGGCAACTTCGGACCCATCTAGGGTCCCCCAAGCAGGAAGAAAATAGCTGTGGGGAGTGGAGGTCCGCTCTCGCGTGGCCATGCACTGCGGGTGCAAAACTGGAAGTCTCCTACCATGGATACTTTAGACTTCTTTTCCCATGTTAAGTTAATTCCTGACAGTCATTTGTAGTAAGATATAAATATAACAAATAAATTATACAAAATACAAACCCAGAAAAGTAGTTTTAAAAATCACCTTCTCTGTTTTTTTCTTCATTAATTAATGAAGGAGAGGATCTTTGTGATGTCCATTTAACTGAACAAGAAAATAATTATTCCAGACAATACTGCTTAACAGTTTCATTTAAACTATCTACTAGATAACTGTGCTTACCTGTTTATCAGTTTGTTCTGTCATACTCTGTTGCTGAGAATGTTTCAGCAGCCAAAACTTGATTTAAGGGAGCAGTGATACTGGAAAGTTTAGGTGATTCTGTCAAGCTTCCAAAATGAGATTTTGTAGATGTGACTACATTTAAATCCTGTTTGTTATCTGAATCCACAGCGTCTCTTTCTATATCTAAGGGGATGAAAAGATGTTCATCTTCTCCCACTAGTTCAGGGTATGATTCAGAGAAAGAAATACTATCACAATATCCTGGTTTTTGGATGAGAGGCCAAGCATCTGAAAGATCTCCACAAGTGGAATGTGAAAGAGAACCAAGAAATGCTGGAATCATTTCTCCAACGGAATTAGAATTCCTGTAAAAAGTTGAGAAAAAGTCATTTAACAAAGATTCATTTTAACATATGTATATATGTATGTATGTATGTATGTATGTATATTTGTTTTCTGAGGTTTTTGCTCCTAGAAGCATGAAGCCGAAAACACCAGCCTGAAGATGACGAATGAGACTTCGTCGAAACGTCACCAAGACACTTCCAATTTGACGCGGGAGAAAACCCGAATAACCAAAGACCTACATACAAACACCCGCGAAAACCTCAGAAAACACACACACACAAACATATATCAGTAAATATAAAGTATGATTTGTGTTACATTTCTGCATTTAGGGGCAGAAAGATGGCATCAAGATATAATAATTTAATATCATTTTACATCATGCTGTCAGTTACAATTATTGCATATGACAGGGGAAGGAGAGAAGATCAAAATGCAGGAAATATGCACAACAAAATCATGCTTTTCAATACTAATCAAAATGCACCAGAACTGAACATTTTAAAAATCTAGTACATAGTAGAATATAGTTAGAGAAAAGACACACACAGTAGACATACCCTTATCTTTGATAGAATACAAAGATAAGAGATAAATCTTATTTTAAGATAACATGTCTACATCACTCCCATGAGTAAACTACTCATATTTTTTAGCATGAAAATCAGGAAATAGCTATATAACCTGAATTATCAGTAGTATTATCTTTTAAAATCAATATATCTAATCCTGCATGCATACAGCATCAATGAATTCCCTCAAGATTTTCAAAGCAGAAAATGAATAAATTTTGTATGTATTCAAGTAGTGTGCGTATAATCCTATGTCTTACAATTTTGTCAACGAAAACTAGTCAAATTCATTTAGATTATCTTTTGAATGTAAGTTATATGATATGATCATAAAAATTAACTTTTTGGAAATTGCCACTAAACATCTATCCAATAGCTCAAAGTCATCAATTTATTCTGCTGGGATAAATGGGCTAATTTTCTTAAATTGCCTTTTGCCTGCATATTGCACATTCCCCTTTCCCTTTCCAATTAGTGACTGAATCTGTCAAAAAAGTCTATTCCCTTGACTGAAAACTCTATAGAATATACCCCAATGCATCATGTAATAAGGACAAATAAATATTCAGTAGAAAAGTTAGCAAAACGCACAAATTTAAAACCTGAAGTACCTTTCATGAAGCGTAGACTGAGAGTGAAAAGGACAGCTATGACAACTATGTTCAAAGCTACAGGACTCGTCACAGCATAATGATGGAATCAAGTGCACTGGGCCTTGAAAAAAGAAAACCTTAAATAAGAAACAAAGTGCATATTTTTTCTAGAAATGCAAATAATTTATATTTGTTGAGACTATGATCTGGTTCACACATCCCATAGTGTACAGTCAACACATAGTGAAGAACAGCTGTTGGCCTCTGGCTCTCGCCTCTCTGTTATACAAGAAAATATCAACAACAAAAGGGGTTGTTTAAGTCCCATTAGAATTTAATGCCTAGTCAAACAATCCATCATCCACCCACTTTGGAGAGAGGGGCAGGTGAAGGATGATCGTACGGGATTGTGTTCAACACAACAATCATATGTTTGAGAATGCCATAGCAGAGGGCTCATATCTGCTCTTACACAAAATCTTCATAACACATTTAGTCTTTGCAATGGTGGTGTTGCATTTAGCCTTCATGTAAAGTTTTAGTCATAGAAACATTTATATAGTTATATTTCTAATTTTGATTTGCTTTATATTACTAAATGCTAATAATTCTATCACTCTAGCCCTATTGTTTAAGGGACTCTATGTTAATGTAACATCTTGCATATCCATAGTTACTTTTATATGCTTTATTCAAATTTCAGCTTCACTGTGTTTCTCCTACTTAGACTAACCCAGCAATTAGAGATCATACTTACCACACATCTGTAATGAATCTTGCTGGCCCTGGCAGCATGTTTTATGTTCATATATATTAAGCTGTGAACTATCAAAACATGCAAGTTCTGAACCTTCATAATGAACATCCTGTGATTGTACAGACCCTTTAGAACAGAGAAGATATTGACACTGGGTGTTAACCCATTTTATTTATATTTAAATTATTCTATAAACATATCTGGTAACATTACACTGTCATTTAACTTACAGCACTTATTATAAAAGTTTTTGCATAATATGAATTAAACCACTTTCTTGGATCTTGTTGCTTTATGCCTATTTCAACATGATCTACATTCTTGACCCTCATTATTAAGAAAAACAGTTAGAAATATTTGGCAGAAGATATCTGAAGTTCCCACAAGAGCCTAAATTGTTGTTAAGAGTTTACAATAATCCATAATTCTGAATAATATAACTATTTTTTGTCCATAATTTCCTTATTAAAAAAATCTAACTGAATAGCAACGTTTGAAAAGTAGCCGTAGCTAACTGCTTTCTTCTAACCCTGTCTTCTGACTCTCACAATTTTCACACTGCAACATGAATTTGGGATATTAATTTCTGATGTATTTTTATATGATCTTCTGAACGCTTCACAATATGCCAGACAAATCAAGACAGGTATCAACCGAGGATATATTCAATATATTCACATAAACGTATTTATCCTCTTTGATCAAAATTACATTTGGGAAACTGAATCAACTCCAGGTTACACTTAACTTACAGTTAGTTAAGCTCAAATAAATCTTTTTTTTTTTTGCACAGATATTTATTAGGTGGTAAAACATAACATAAAGGAGACATGAGTAAGCAGTAAATGTAAATGTGGTGGTGGGGGTAGGAGGAGAGAAACTTACAGTTTGGCTTCTTTTCCATGAATTGTCTCTTGCAATAGATAACACACAGGATGAAGAGCGCTGAAAGTACAGTTGCCAGTGCACTGCATATCACAGCAGCGAGCGCAGTGTCTCGTGGACTGGAAACAGTGGATGGAATTTTCACCAAATTCACTTTTGTGGTGCCTATATATAAATAAAAGCATGCCTTTTATTGATTGTAGGCAGAGAAGAGCAACAATTCAAAGCTCTTTAGGCAGAGATAAATTCTTTTAAGAATTTTCACTGCACAGCACAAACAGAATTGAAAATGGCCAATGAAGTCAAACCCTACTAAGTGCATGAAACCAAAGAAAAATACTACCATTACTCCATTTCACTACTCTTAACAGCAAAATGCTTTTCCCTAACACTCAAATGGAGTTGTCTTGTAACATAGAACTGTTATTCTGTACACTTTACACTTTTGAGATGACAGAAGAAAGCTCTTATCCTTCTTCTATGTGCCATCTATTCAGATATTTGAAGAATGTTGTTGATCTCCTCAGTTCTTTTCTCAAAGGAAATCTTCTCATATCGGTTAATTTCCAGTCCCTTGATCCTCCCCACTATTATTCTTTGCTCTTAAAAAAAATCATAATTGTAGTGCCCAGAACTGAATACTCTGCTTGATATGGTGAAACTGTAACTTTGCCAGCAAGCTATATACTGTAAACATGTTTATTGAAACTAATTCTTATAGAGAGTATCAGGTGAAGATGTTTTCTATTCCTGTTTCATAAGTGGATGAAGAACAGCAATCCAGACCTATTAATATCATCAAAGGGACATCAATAAGTTCCTCCATTAATTGTAAGCTATGCTTTGAGACCATTTAAACAAGGTCAAAGAATCTATCTACTGCTCAATCTGTCCAAAATTCATTGAAACAGAGTCAACAAGTATCAACTGAAGGTATATTAAATACGATGGATAAAACCCAGTCTTCCAAGGAGTGGTATTATAAGTAATTAACTAGTCTTATGAAAAGAAGAGAAACAATTTTCACCAATTTCCCCAAATATTGTATATCAAACATGGTAACAGATAGGAAAATTTAATAATAATTAAAGACTTTTTAAAATATTTTCGGAACCTTATTTTTTTGTCTGATTAGCCTTGTTTATCATTAATGGGGATACATTAAATGTTTGTATAGGCCAGGGGTAGGCAACCTTGGCTCTTTTATGACTTGTAGATTTCAACTCCCAGAATTCCTGAGCCAGTATGGCTCATATATTTATTGTATAGACTCATTTTGAGATAGCTCCCATATTGTTTGGCCTATATCAGGGGTAGGTAACCTTGACTCTTTTATGACTCGTGGACTTAACTCCCAGAATTCCTGAGCCAGCCATACTGGCTCAGGAATTCTGGGAGTTGAAGTCTACGAGTCATAAAAAAGCCACGGTTGCTTACCCCTGGTATAGGCCAAGCAATATGGGAGCTATCTCAAAATGGGTCTACACAATAAATATATGATTTTTATATAATACATGCATACAATGGCTCTCTACACATTATAGTAAACAAAATGCAAAGGCAGAACATGCCACTATCACTATATGCATTCTTTATGAATTATGAGCATCTATAGATTATAATTATCTGTACTCAAATATGTTTTTTTTAATTACAGAAATCTACAAAAGCTGTTTATCTGAGAAAAAAAGTATAATCTCTCTGTAATCCAAAAAACCCCCAAAGAATGTACAGTATATCTAATGCAACAAATGATATAAGGCATTTAATGCTTATAACACTACAATTGACTATTCAACAACTATAGATTGCCATATTTATGGAATTCCATAAAAATCACTGGCTTCACCTACAAACATCCACAAATATTTAATGTAATAAAAGATTAAAAGAAACTGTTCCAACTTATTAGCTTTTGAAAAATGTTTAATCTATTACCACAAGTTGGTCTAGACAAAACTAAAAGCATATAATTTGCTGAAAAATTATATGTAAAGACATAATGGCCAGTTAAAAGACCAAACACTGACAAAGTATCTCCATACATTTCAACAATATTTCTTTAATCTGGGACCTAGATATGTTGGACTCCAATTGCATTATAGCAGCTGAAGTCTAGTGAATCTGGAAGGCAAAGTCTGCTCTAACATGTAAATAATGTTACTTCAAATTTCCAAAATATACTTAGTAGAAAAAAAAATCAAACAGTTTTCATTATGCTCTCTCCTATTTACTTACTATCACTTTAGATGGAGGACAATAAAGTTTTATATTTGGAGCAAACAAACAGTTCACTTAGTGACCAAAGTTACAATGGCACTGAAAAAAGTGACTTATTTTTCATACTTACAATCATTGTAGCATCCCCATGGTCACATGATCAAAATTCAGATGCTTGGCAACTGACTATTTACTGACTTTACATCGGCTATCAACTGTGGTAATCCCACAATGGAGCTTTTGCTTATTTGATAGGTTTTCAACTTTCATTTCATGTCATTCAATAGACATTGAATGCTAAATACAAAATATTCTGGGCCCATGTCCTGTAGCCACTAGCACAGTGTTTTCCTTTCTTGCCCCCTTATTATTTCTGAAAAGGCAATTTACCAACCACTATGGTACATTCATATATTCCAAATATCTTCTATTTTAATTTATTCATCTCCCTCTATTGCTAGAAGTTTGTTCATCATTCTACAGACCTTTCAGATTGCTCTGTTTATTACACTATTTCAAGAAATGGGTTGTAAGTTTCACTTTTACTGTGTGCACAATCAACACAGTGGCATATTGAATGGCCAACACAGCATATAAGGAAGAGTACACTTAAATGCAAATATGATAAACAATATTTCATCCTTTATCTAATTTTCTGGGAGATGAGGACATAAGGAATGTAAGCAATGTTTGTTATCGCTTATAAATTTATATTCTGGTTATAAGCTAAATTACTTGATTGTTTACATCTTGAGTAGAATGTTTTTTTAAAGGTATTCTATTTTCTCAAATGGAACAAAAATGAATTACTGAAGTCTATTTTCATTATCTGTTAACAAATTTTGCGTGTCAGTAAATTCTGAACAAAACTAATAAGGCCACCAAAGCATATACAGATCACATTCCTGTAATCTAGTAGTTTAATGAGCTGTAGCCAAATGTTTAGATAGTAATTAATATCAGGTGTAAATGCTTTCACTGTCCTTAAGAGTTAGCTGTTTTAATAAATATATAAGAGAATCCATTCAGTATATGTTAATCATTATCCATACACCATTCCCTCTCAGGAATTTCAAGTTCACTTAAATCTGATAACTAAGCAGCTATTTCTTTGTTAATAAAAAGTAATGATTAAGTTAAATATTTTGCAGACATCCTATATGTAAAATAAACACTCATTCAGCCTTTGGCAAAGAAGGATCCTAATTATGGGATTGACTCAAAAGATGAAAGACTGGTTCTAGTATTAACTTGTGTAAAAAAACTGGTTAAGAGAAATACTGACATTATCAAATCTCATGGCTGAAGTTAACACTTTCTTTCCTCTTTCCAGAGAATAAAGCTTAACTTCAGAGATTATTTATACAATCTGTCTTTTTATGGTGTTCAGCTCTTCTTTCAGTGGTGTGCACACACTGGTGCAGATGTGCACAATAGGTAACTGTAAGGAATAAGAAATCTCACAGTATCTCACATCCCCATTTAACTTGTCCTTTCTATTTAACAAGGAAGTGCAGCTCCATGATTTTTCAAGAGAGAACAGGAGGCCCCCACAAAACATACTTGCTTTATAATCATTCGGCATAACTAGGCAGGTAGAAAGGGGAAAAAAACAGGTGAATATTCCCATGGAACTTAAAGGTAAAGGTTTTCCTGTCCAGTTGTATCTGACTAGGATGCAGTGCTCATCTCCGTTTCTTGGCTGAGGGAGCCAGCATTGTCTGAGGATAATTTCTGTGGTCACGTGGCCAGTATGGCTGTATGCCAGCTTCATTGCCACTGCTATACTGCTAGCTACAGAACAGCTGATCAAAGATTGGTGCTTTCCAAGACAACTTATAAAAAGCAAATGCAAACTCAAAACAGAAATAATAAAAATGATCTATCTTATGACTTGATTAAAAAGAGCATTATTTTTTCTCTACACCAACTTTTCTATAGTTGATAAACAAATGCTAAAAATGCAAAATATTTGATTTGTGTAATGGAATAATGAACCCTGAGTTTTACTCATTAGGTGTTTGTTCAGAAAGGATGCCCAGTTAAAGAAAAAAAAAACAAGAAGCATCTTAAAATAAATTATAAGCAGAGATTAATTAAAAATATCCCTTAAATTAGCTAGCAAGTTCAACCATAAGAGGGTATCTCCAATTTATGAGCCTGGATAACAATAAGGTTAGTAAAAAGTATATTTGACTACTGGAGTCAACAGATTAAAAATGCAGCTTTTAAAGTCTTGCTGAATATGCCCAAATGTCAATTTTTTTGTGTAGAGAATAAATTAATTTTGATATTTAAAAAAAAACTGGCCAGGGGTGAACCAGGACTTCATAAAAGAAATGCTGGTATAATCAATACCGAGACACAGTTCATTAAGTAAGTCTAGAAACTTGTTTTGTTTCATATAATATACTGCAATCAATATTTGTGGTAAAAAAATGAAATAACGATTCCCATCCCATTTCCTTGAAAAATAAAACCAGAAACAGAGGGAACATAAGAAGATCCTGGAACAGAATTTATTAAACAAATGTTTAAGGGCCAAATTATGGTCAGCAAAGAAGCAGTTCAATTCCTTTAATCAATATCTTAGTGTATACTGAGTTGGCATCTGCTTCTATAGCCATACGCTAGGTTAAAAGTAATATGAGAATGCCTTCAATATCACAGTTTTAGATTCTCTGTTATAAAGAGTAGAAAAAATAGTTATGTTTTTAATGAATTTGTATTTATTATACAAGTGCAGTACAGTATTTCGTCTGTAATATCCCTTGAACTATCTTTCTGCCTATTGGCTCTGAGGGACCAGACAGTCTAGGCATTACCACTTTGTCTGGACATGAAGAAGACAAATTACTATTGAGACAAAATGTAAATGGAAAATTACTTTAAATCTTATTATGAATCCTCCTGATTTAAAATAACTACTCCATTCTTGAAAGGCTGTTTTTAGGCGTATGCATCTTCCAAATGTAGAAATACATTTTCCATATTTCATCTAGCTACTTTATCTAGTGATAAAAAAAAGTCTCAATATGTGCTGTTTTGGCATAAATGTTATATTTGATAATGTTAAAGAGTCATGTTTTTTTAAATGTAGTATTAGAAACTAGTTTGACGTTTGATGAATATGTGATATATATAATTAGTTTCCCTTTTGTTGTTTTGGTATTTTTTTAAGTTAGTTGCTGATTCAGAATTTAAAGTATTTTCTGTTTTATTGTTTTTTGTAAAATTTATTGAGGCAAATAAAATAAAAAATAAAATGCCTTAGCAGTGATTTAAATTGCATTTTCACAAGCGCTAAAACTTATTATTCTCCTGAAATAGTAATCGTAAATATACAGGTAGTCCTCAACTTGCAACCATTCGTTTAACAACCATTTAAACTTACGACAGCATTGAAAAAAGTGATTTACCAATGGTCCTCACAATTGTTGCATCTTCTCCATGGTCACATAATCTACATTTGGCTGCTTGGCAATCAGCATGTATTTAGAATGGTTACAGTGTCCCAGGATCATATAATTGCCATTTGTGACCTTCCCAGTTGGCTTCTGACAAGCAAAGTCAATCAGGGAAGCCGGTTTCGTTTATTGACCATTTGATTTACTTAACCACCACAGTGATTTGCTTAATGAATGTAACAAAAAAGATTCTAAAATCGGCCGTGACTTACTTAACAACCACTTAACTTAGTGATGGAAGTTCTGATCCCAATTGTGATCATAATTCAAGGACTACCTATATTTCATGCTGATTCATATATTTTATTTTTTTATTCTAAATCTATAATTAAAATTTATTTACATGCTTTTTTCCCAGGCCTTCAAATTTCTGAAAATCCAGTACATTATATCCAGAATACAGTATTCAGAAGTGCTTCATTTAATTTCTGCAGATTTATTTGTTCTTGATTCCATTTCAACATATGCAACAGCATTATTTGCTATTATTGAATAATGCAGAATTCAGTGTTTATCATAAATGTTTACTCAAGAGTGATTTCTCTTCTTTTGCTTTTTATTCCCCTTTTAAAAAACCTTTTTAACTTTCTGATGGTCTTTTTACAATCCACAACTAGCTTTTTCATGAGTAAATATTTAAACCATAACTCTGTTTTAAAAGGTCTACTGATGGAGAATAGATTAAAGCACCCCTGAAATTTATAGCTAGCTAGGTAATAATCAACTGCTATCTCTGATTGTTATTAATGTTGCTATCACATTATATGATCATAGGATTTTAGCCTGGGCAGTTTATAGAGCCAATTTAGCATTCAAGAGAAAAAAATTGCCAAAACACACTTAATATAGTGTATCAGTGTACATATTTTATTTGGGGAAGTTCTAAGAAATTGAACATGCTTATTAAACGTTTAGAATTTTGTCCACATAATTATTGTGCCAGTTTTATTTACAATATGCTAAAGTTTCAAAAACCTGGAATAAATTAGTTAATTTGTGAGGCAATTCACCTAGTATTAAAGTATTATAAAAACAGCTTAATATCAGTATTCAGCAATACACATAATTACCTACAGATGTAGGGAAATCTTCAAACAACATATTTTTACTTGATGAGAGCAGCAATAAGTTTCATATTACTAAGTCCTGATTGTTGTTATCCATATGGGACCTTTCATTAAATGCTTCAATTTGAAGAGCTACTGTTTTACTCTCCCAATTAGCAAAGTTATTTGTCACAATATTCCTCTCTTCACCGAGTTGTTAAAATGTCTCTTTCAATTATTTAAACAATTAAAAAATGCATTTCTGCTAAAACTGAGGTTTTGTGAGTCTAATAATTTACCTTATTAATACTAATATACCTCTTCCTCAGTTTGTTTAAAAGGCTCTCACATTTTGTTGAGCAAAAAACTATATTACTGATTGCCAGTCCCTAACCTATCACACACAAATAATATCAAATTGGTCGGTCTTATTTACTATGTAAATAGAATGTTTTAAATCAGCAGTCCCCAAACTTTCCAGGTTGGCGATTTGGGGGGGGCGGGGCGGAAGGAGGGGAGATGCTTCCATGTGAGTGGCTGGTGTGTGCTTAAGTGTGCACAGCTCTGATTGCGCAAGTGGCATGTGTGCTGCCCACTTTTGCACAAATGGAACTTCGCATATGAGTGTGAGTGCCTGCTGCTCATGCAAATGGAGCTGCGCACAGATGCGTTTGGCCACAGCATGCGTGAGCTTCATGCGCTCGGCTGCTGCTTGTGAGGCCTGGTTCCGAAGCACAAATGGAGTTTCGCGTGTGTGCACTTGCCCGTTTGTGCTATCTGGTTCTGAACAGGCTGTGGCACGGTAGTGAGCTGTGTCCCAGAGTTGGGGACCCTGTTTTAAATAAAGATATGGGTAGATTTCATTATTTTTGCTCCTGCATTTTCCATAAAAATCACTTCTTTCATGTATTTTCTGTACCTATCATCTATTAGTCAGGCTATTATAGTAACAGTACTACATTATGCTTAAAAATAGTATGACTTAAGAGCTGCCACACCATGAAAACCATGCCATACCATGCAAACACCTCACTTATAATAGCAGAAAAATGCACAGGGAACTATGCATATGCAATAAAGAGCTGTCCCCCCACACTGGAGAACCCTCAATGTGTATGTCAGCTGTTCCAAATAACTGACCCATGGGAGATTCATGATGCATTAGCAATGACCTCAGCTGAACACTTCATGAGAGAGATTATGTGGAACAATAGGAGGAAACTTTCACCTTGCACTGCATAACTCTTGAACCTGTCAACTCGTTTTACTATGTAATCCATCAGTTATTACAGTAATACTCAACTTATGACCATAATGGAGCCTGCCATTAATGTGCAGATTGTTAAGTGGAGCATCAGGTGCCTTAGGGCTGCAGCAGACCCTTAAAGGTCTAGTGCAGGCCCAGGCCAACCTGTCCCAGGCCTCCCAAGGCCTATCCCATCCTGTCCCTCGGAAACCCCAGGCCTCATCCTGCTCTCAAGTTGGCCATTCAGCCAGGCAAGGGAGCAAAAGTGACCAACACATGGAGGGCATTTACAGTCACTTGGCCATCCAAGGGACTTGCAGGACTCACACTGCTCCTCACCCAGGACCAAGCAGTACCTATCTTATCTTTTTTGTTGTTTTTTTCGCAGAGGAGCCTGGTTGATGTGCTGCAAGGCTCAATTCTCTTGCACAAATTGCTGGCCTTGTGGAAGCCTTGTGCTATTCTAGCAAGTAGTACTTCTCACAAGAATTAGGGAGCTCTGTTTTTTTAAGGGGGCTTCACAAATCCCACAAGTGAATGGAGCTTCTTCATAATTACACTCATTGTAGCTTTCCAGAGAATAATTATGGACATATAGATAGTCCTGGAACTATAACACCAATTGGGGATTGGGACTGATGTTGCTAAATGATACAGTGGTAAAGTATGACATCATGTGACCACATTGCTTACTGATAGCAATCTAGGCTATCCAGGTTTTCATAGTAACCAGGAAAATGCATTTATATCATGAATGTTCTAACATTTTAGTATCAGAAGCACTTACAGTGTGGTTCATAAGGAGGAGGTGGATCACCACAAGGAATACATTCCATATCCTGAAAGCCCCCAAGCTTTGTCTTTCTATAAAATCTGGAAGACAGAAGAAAAATATCACATTTCTCAAATCTGAAAAAAAAGGTCAATATGGAATTATGCTAATAAAAATCAATAAAATGATATTGAAATAATAGGGGATCATATAAGGTGAGATTAAGCAAGAGTTTCAGGTAGTGACACTCTTCTGATGGGCTAGGACACCAATTTAATGCTTTATGGGACAGAAAATTGAGGGCAGTGGTGAGCACAGCACTAATGAAAAAGGAGGAGATTTATATCAAATGCATATGAATGGGCAAGATTTTCCTTTTTCCTAAGTTTTATGAAGATTCTTTTTAAATATGGTGAGCAGTACTGTACAGAATGGCAGGAAACAGTGTGCCAAATTTTGGCAATCATAACATTGAAATCCAGCACTGCAACCCAGTACATTCTGGGGAAAACAAAAAACAGGTTTTTAGACTCATTGCCCCCATGAATCCTACAAGTTCAAGCCTTTGGCCTAATATCCTGAGGTGAATTTGGTGAAACTTTTATTTTGTCATCATTTGTTTTACTATAGCTTATTGTTACTCACTGCTACTTTCTGCCCTTTCATCTGTTCAATTAGAAATGTGATGGGGAACTACACTTGCATTTGCTTGAATGCTAGTACAATTCTTCATGTGATCTGCAAAATTAATTCATTAGACTCTTAGATCGTGTTGAGAGTTAAAGTTAAACTGAAACCAGCATAAATTAATTCTGTTTTCCAATTTCCAACTCATCACTGGGAGGTCAGGGAGATGGGAAGGCTATGTGAGCAACTCTTCTTTGACCATTTTTAAGATCTCCACATTTTCACCTAAACAGAGCTTATGGTATTTCTATCTCTCCTTTACACATACAGATAATCCCCAAGTTACGAGCGTTCCCTTAATGCTCGTTCAAAGTTATGTGATGAGCACCCCATAGTGCTTACGAGCAAGTCCTAAAGTTACGAATATTGCAGCACCACGGCAGTCGTTCACCCTTATGAGTGACTGCAGTGGCTCTGCAACATTCACCCTAGTTATTCCCTCCCTCCCCTCCCCCACCTGGGTCTCCCTAGGCACCAGGCCTTCAATATTCAGCCTGCGAAGATCGAGATCCTTCACTTTCTTGGTGCTCCAGGCCTTTGGTGCATTCGCAGAGAATGGAGGCCTAAAGTAACGCAAGATTACATGAGATCAGTGGGGCGAGATCTCACGCTACTCATCTTGTGTGATCTCATGGTACTTTAGGCCTCTGTTCTCTGCAACAGAGAACGGAACTGAAGCTTGGGGACACTTCCACGTGCCTCCCGAGGCTAGATTGGGGCTTTTCATTAGAACGCCCTAAAAGCAAAGCTTCAGTACATAATCACCTATCACATCTGGAAGAGATGGTAGGAGGAAAATCTTAATTTAGCAGACTTTGATATAATAGACTTAATATCCAGTGGACAATTTTACATATCAATTAACATCAGTTGTATAATTAAATTGTATAATGATGTAAACTGCATCATTTAATAAAAAATAAATCTATTTACTATTAATATAAATATTCATAATATTGAATGGGTATTTGGAAACAACAAACATTCCGTCCTCGCAATATAAACAATTAAAGCGAGTTTTCACTGAAGAGTACAGAAGCAATTGAACAACTTCAAGTAGAAGAGCCAGCTAAAACCGAGAATATAAATTATTTACAGTTCTTCATAATACCTTCTATAACTTACCCAGGCAAGCAGTCTCCACAAACAGCATTGCTAATGGCAGAACAATTGCTTTTCTGAAATCGATTTACTGAAGCACAGTCCAAACATTGTTTGCATTTTTGAAAGCCCCGGTCCTCTTTGAATCTGTTTGGCCTGCATGTCATGCACTGGGCATCCTCGCCATATCCAAAACCACATTCCTGTGGGATTAACAAACACTACTGTGACACTTAAGAGACATAAATAATGGGAAATGACAAAGATGAAACGAGGTCTTAAGTGTAATTATTTCTGAAAATAAAAACTTTCTAGAGATAAAATAATCTTCTCAGCAGTTCCTAATGTGCTGTCCATTGTTAATAATCTCCTTTACTTTTATAAGAAATACTAACTTATCCACTTTATCTGAAAAACTTCTAGTATTTGAATGAAAATGAGACTCAGTGGATTCCCACTGCTACATTATTATAATCTTATGGAAATTACTGACATGTCCATTTTTAAACTATGCCAATAATATCAAAATTTAGAAATTAGCCTATGAAGTCCTTCAAGCAATTACATGAACACCAGAAAAATAATTTTAATATAAACTTGTTGAGCTAAGCTGAAAGTATATATGATCAACAAAAATGCTTACAATGATTATTTTATATAAACAATAGAAAAAGCTATAGAACTAAACATAATGTTAAATATAGTGCAATATATATATATATAATATTCTGCAATATATGGGGGCTCACATAAAAATACTTGACAATTGTATAAACAAAATATCCGAAAATATAATAGCAGCATAAAATTCTATCAAATAAAAAAGTGGGAAAACTTAAAAAAAATATTAAAATAACCCTACAGTTCCTCTAAAAAATGCTTCCTAATAGCTGTTTACAAGAAGGGAAAATAAATTTGCACAATAAATAAAAATAATCTATTGCTAGACAATTATCATATAGGCAGACCCGGTTGAATATAGAGAAAGAAATATCAGTCTGGTGTTCTGTTACTTGTACAGTGCTACAGGGTTCAGTTTTTTTTAACCTATATGAAGCCACTGGGAGAAGCATCTATCAGTATGGGGTGCAATTATCGGCAAATTGTTGATCATATCCAAATGTACATCACAGTCTGGCAGTGTGGTCAATGTTTTGATTCAATATCTGAAGATAATTAGAATCTGAATGAGACAAAACAAGTGAAACTAAACTCAAGCAAAATAGAGTTGTTGTTTATCCACTGAGATTCTCTACCTACTCATATATTGTCTTTTCAGGAAGTGATACTAAGAGAGAGGACCCATGATTTAGAGATCCTCTTGGATTGCTAGGTACTACTCAATTGGCAAATAGAAACCATAACCAACTGGTCCAGCTTCAGCCTTAAATGAAATAGAAACATGATCATGTCTCATCTATTACAAGGTACACTAAATGAGGCTGCCTTTAATTGCTGGAAAATGCAGCAACCTGTGCATTAATTTCTATGGGACATCAATTAGCCTATGCTGTAGCCCTGCATTGGCTTAAGTGAGATGGGTGGCCATAGAAATAAAATAATATGTATGTATGAATAAAAGAATGAATGTTTAATCCTTAAACTATGAAAAAACTTCTCTAGTAAATAACATTGCAACTTCCAAAATAGTTAATTTATAAGTGCTATTTCAATGTTATGTGTAGTAGAGAAATATATTTAGTAATATCATACTTGAAAAATCAAGAGAATAATGTTCAGAATTTTATACGAACATACCTTAGATAATTCCATTCCAGGGCCACACTGTTCACACAATATACAGTTTCCGTCATAATCTCTGTACTCCTGCTCTCTGCACTCTCCAGTTTCACAAATTATAACATTTAACTACAAACAAGAGGGAGGCTGTTAAGATTACATTATTAAAGAAATGAATCTTTGAAGAATAGTCCTATACATGCTCAGAATTTGCTCCCAAGAAAATACATAGAACAGAAATGTACTTGGAACTGCTGATGTAATTTTTGTCAATGGCAATAGTATTGAAGTTGTGCTCTAGATGTTTTGAGATTGCACGCAAGTACTATTGGCACTGTCTTTGCTTTCTTTTGCCATAGTCATTTTACTTTTATTTGCAGATTTTTGTATTTTGTGATTTTCTTCAGTTCTTTCTCTTCTCTTCTGCAATTTCCAGGTATTACCATGTTTTTTGTCTTTCTTATCAACAGTTGTTAAGTCTGCAGTATTATGAATTCTGATGTCCCAGGACATTTTAGCTTCTGCATTTTCTATTTCTTTGTCATGTTTTGGTCCCATCAGTACTTGCTTGCAGGCAAATAGTATTTTTTGTAAATATTCCAGTACAATGTTATTATGGTTTGTTGCAGTCAGTCAGATGCACCATTATTATTACTACTATTTGTCACACAGTCTGCCAGATGTTTAAATTGGACCTGGCACTTTTTTCAATCCATCAAGTCCTTCCCAAGGACCTGGGGATAGACAGATGTTCTATTATTACAGTAAGATAAATATATATTAACTTAGCTATCTTTAGGTTAATGCCAACTTGTGTTAAACAACTTGATATTGATCAGATTAATCTGCTATAGTATATAATGACATCTGGTCAGTAAGTCGACATTTATAAAAGAGTAGTTCCCTTGCTGCAGTGTAAGAAAACAATACAAACAAATAATACAAACTTTATAGTGCTTCACATACTGGTTTGCAGTCATAAACCAACTACCTAATTATTTAGTTTTTTGAGTGCAAGAATATTTACCAATATGACATATAATACATAAGAAAAATGTTTATCTACTTACAACGTATATCAAAAGTATCAGCAATCTAAAGATGAAATACTGCCACTCAAACTTTTGTGTATGCATTTTTCCTTTAAGAAAGAAACTGACCTGTAAAGAAGAAAAAAAATAATTCCTGAGGCTGTAAAGTACACATGCCTATGATACATAATAAATAATAGGCAGTAATAATGTTATGCCTGGATTTTATATCCAAGTTGAAATTTCAATGAGAAAGTTCTCATAACCACTACTGGAATCCTATCTAAGCATTTACTAATAGAAGAATGGACAAACCCATAATTCTTAATAATAGTAGAAGAATGAAGAGGACAGAAACATTATTGACCAAAATGTCAATGTGCTTGCTTAAACTCTATTAACTATAACAACATTTACAAAATAACTTATCTACTTTGCAAATTAGCATCATATTACATTTCCTAATTTAGTTCCAACTACAATTAAACTAGATTAACCTCCACTAGAGAAAGACTGATTTAATTTATGAAGATATAAACAAAGACATTTTGATTTCCTAATTCAAAGAACTTTTATTAAACATTAGGTTTCCACCTATTAGAGGAATTTCAAGTAAACTTACTGATAAACCCTCTCTCTCTAATAAAACTCCTGTAGGAAAATTTTTGAATTTGTTTAAATCAGAGACCAGCATACTTCTTTGAAGATACTAATAGGCAAAGAGGCAAAGACAAGTCTAAAGAGGAAGAGTTATAGCCCTTTTTATAGATGTATGCAATTAATGGGTTTTTAATTATTTATTGATTTAAGCATATGCATGTAATAATATGGTTAGATATGTGAGCTAATGAGCAAATATGTCATCTTTGAATTGAAACAAAGGGCTATATCTGAAACCATGATATTCTTCTAGCCACTATCTAAAGCTAGCCATTAGTTTCCAGTAATATTTGTTATTTCTTAGCTACTCTAGTTAGCATTCTTCCTGTTAACACTTTCACTATCTTGTTACTCAATTCAACTTTCTTTGTATCTGAGTTTCCTGGCATTTAATTGAATATATTTGATCTTAGCATTTGTTTTTCTTGAAGATGTACCTAAACTAAATGTTTTTGGTTGACCCCAAATTCCATTTCGCTCTCCATAAAGTATCAGTTATAATCAGAAGTCACTGTGATATTAATCCTATTTAATCTATCCTTTTCTGTACCAAAAGGTTAACTTTCCGAACTTTTCCAAAATAGAAGATAATTATATGTACTGTAAGTAAGAAGCCTAGTTTGTGTCAGATATCAAGTTAGTTAAATAAAACAATCAGTTAAATAAAACAATTTAAAACATCTCAAAAGACAACAATAGTAAACTTCTTCTATAACGTTGCCAATAAGATTACATAGATTCAGTCACTTAATTCAACCCAAAGTATATTTACTTTCAAATTGGGCTTTCAAATTTGGGAAAAAATATTTTTAAACAATAGCAACAATACATGTAATGGCTAAATCAGAGCTCAAATCTACAAAATCTACAATGTCTCTTCTTTCCTTTTTTCCTCCCTTCTTCCCTTTCTTTTTGCTATCCTTTATCTGCTAATTCTACTTCCTCAATAATTAACCATTCATTTGTTACCTTCTTAGACTAGGTCTTCATGGCTTTGAAATAAATGGAAGTAAATGGAAAGTTGTTTAGCCTTCTATTTAAGTCAGCGGTTCTCAACCTATGGGTCGCGACCCCATTTGGGGTCGATCGACCATTTCATGGGGGTCGCCAAACCATGTTGTCCGCCATTTTTTCCCTTTTCCCTAGCTGTCCTACTCCCTCTTATTGGCTTTCAAAAGTGCCGTTCCTGCCTCCCTCCTCTTTGCGCATGCACAGCTTTTTTCTATATAAAGTTAGGAAGTTTCGGTTTCAGAGCATGTGGCGGAAAGCAATACAGAGGACAAGCGGCAGAAAGCGAGAGAGAGCAAGCAGCAGAAAGCAAAAGAGAAACAACCAAAAGCGGTAAGTTTCCTCTCTGGGGGAAAGGGGTTAGCAAAAGGGTGCCACGAGCTTAAAAGAGATCGCAATAAAGAGGATGGTATGCATGCATACCGTCCACCCAAACACACACCTTGTTGCGCCAATGTTAAGCCATGACTTACACACCTCCTTTTAGTCTGCTTGTTCAAATGCCTTCGCGATAAGCCGGCAGAATCAAAACTCCCTCTCTCTCTGGCAGCACTGAACCCACAGCAATGGTGTGTGTGTGTGTGTGTGTGTGTTTAAACAGCAGCAACAAACAATAACAAAAAGTATGTGTGTGGGGGGAGAGGGGAGATAATGATAAAGGTGATAGACCGGGTTTTCAAGCCGATCTCTTTCGCGGTGTATCCAGCCCGACCCCATTCAGAAGAAAGAAAGGCTGCAGCCGGAAAGAAACAGGGGAAAGATATCTGCACCTTTTGTTACACTCCCCGAAACCCCCCTCCCATTTCTCTGGCCTCTTGCGCAGATCTGTTCAGGGAGCCACACAATTCCGGGAGGCGAAAAGGGACGCAGGGATATTTCCAGAAACGAGCTAATCCAGTACACACAGTGACGCCCATATTCTCCCCTGCAGATTCTACCTCTCGCTGCAAGAAAACGTGTTTAAAGTTTCTCTGCCCCTTTCTCCCCTTTTAAACCCAAGACCTACCTCGTTTGCAGACTAGAGCGCTTTCCCGATTAGCCCAGCTTAAAACCTTAAAGCTCGGGCGTCCCTCAAAAGCCACTTCTCCCGACGCCGGGATCAAAGAGAAAGCTGTTTAAACTTCACCTATTAAAGTGAAGGTAACTTAGGTTCCTCCATATCACGTTCACCCAAGCCGAGCCACCATCTGAAAATGGGCCCTCGGGTTGGGCATTGATTGCCGCCTGCAGTGAGCGGGGGGAGGAAGCAGGGACCACCTTACCTGAAGCCCCCGTGCATCCTTTCTGGAGCCGCCAATGCCACCCGCTCCAGTTCCCCGCTCTGCTTACAATGGGTAGCTAGCTAGGCAGGCTCGCTTCCTCCTCCTCCACCACCGCCAGCAGCAGTAACTCCAGCCTCGCTGCCTCACAAGCCCGCAGGTGACATCATCGCCTTTTGGCCTGATAGGATGCAATGTGAATCTGGAACTATGTAAGGGAGGCTCACACAGAGAAAGCCTCCTACCAGCTCGCTGCCTAGTGCGCTCTGGGAGATAGAGTCCGGATCGAGTTGTTGGCCATAGGCAGCTGTATGTCAAGGACTACCTTTCCCAAAAAGCCCTGTGCACCCCCACTTTCTCTGCCGTTTTTTTTCTTCCCCTCCCCTTATCCACCAGCTCGAGTACGTTCGCCTTCCCTGAACCAAAAAAGCCGCGCTCAATATATTCAGCCGGGCGGGAGGTCTGGGATCAGCAACGGGGCTGCGAGGCTGGCCATTCCCTTCTTTTCTATGCTTCCCTTTTGGTGATTTGCAGTGCGGCGAATTGGAAGAGCTGACTTTGAGGAGGTCGAATGGTAATACAAGTCCCTTTTCTGAATTTAAGCCTCGCTGGAGTCCTCGGTGCTTGTTTTTCAGTGAACGTAAATACGACTCAAGTATGCGTGATTTTATACATGTGCTTGAAAAGTTTCAATTTGGAATTTATTTTGTCAAACTCCTTACTGGGACCTAGAGCAGGAAACATCTTTCTAATTTTATTTAGGGTAAGTTTCCAGAATCTGGCATCTGCTTTTCTGATTTAATTGCATAGTGGTTCTTTCTGTGCACGTTGTTGACTGAGTCCTAGGCCCACTCCATTTGGGGCTTTATAAATAAGAGCCCTTGATCCTTTTTACCCATCTCTAATGTTCAGATCTCATCTTCAAAATGTCTTTCCCTGCAGCGAATGAAATTGATTAGCATGATGTCCTTGCTGTGATTATAGCATGGATATATGAATTTTCAGAGGTAACTGTCAACCACCGATCAATAAGCTTAACCCTTGGACAGAGCCAAAACAAGCAGAGATAATCGATTGGTGCACAAAACTCATTGATGGGCAAAAAGGGAACAAGAGCTTTAAAACTTTTATTTGTATTGGAAACCAGTGAAAAACCAGTGACCTCTTCGGGCATTGGTGAATTGTATGCCCATTTGGGACTCATATGGAAGGTGTTGCAGCAATCCAAATTGAAAGTGAACAAGGCATGAATGACCATGAGCAAGGCTTCTGGCCTAGGAAAGGATGCAATTCATATGCAACATGAGTCTGGGCAAAGACCTCCTTATCCATGGCCGCCACCTGCTACTCAGGAGCTGTGAGGCTAGAAGGACCCCAGTTTGGTCTAATGGTTAATGCACCCAGCTAGAAAGTAGGAGACTTTCAGTTCAAGTCCAGCCTCAGCCATGAAAGCTAGCTCAGTATTTTTGGGCCAGTCCCTCTCTCTCAGCCCAATCTGCCTCACAGAGTGGTTGTTGTGGGGAAAATAGAAAGAGGAAGGTATATTCACTGTCTTGAACTATTTGTAAAAATAATAAAGCTGTGATACAAACTGATGTGCGACGCAAATAATATAACTAAACAAATAAATAGCACACCAGCTCAGTCTCGGGAAATGCCATCAGAGATGGAGGCCAGTATTGTGGCTTCCAGATCAAAAAAGGAGGAGACCATCAGGATTTGCGATTCAGAACAGTAGCAAAATTACAGTTATGAAATAGAAACTAAAATAATTTTATGGTTGGGGGTCACCACAACATGGTGGCCACGCCCACTTGGTGGCCACACCCACTTGGTGGCCTCACCCACTTGGCCACGCCCCTGGGGTCACCACAACATGGGGAACTGTATTATGGGGTCACGGCATTAGAAAGGTTGAGAACCAGATAGGTATTTTATAATTTAATCTATAATAATACTTCTTCCAAACACGAAGTAAAGCATTCCTCAAAATATGTGATTTAAAAGTCCGATCAACTTTCTTATTAAAAATTAAATATGCATGCCAACCATATATTAAATCCCAACCTTCCAAAAAAAGAATATCCATATTTGTTAAATTAAGCCAATCACTCAACCAAGTTAGGGCGGCTGCGTCATAATATAATTTCAAATTGGGTGCCTTAAGTCCCCCTCTTTCTCGAGCATCCTGTAATATCTTAA